ATTCCTTAAATAAAAATTTGGACTCTGAAAATTTTCTCGAAACGATGATAAAATTTCAACCTGTTTATATGCAAAATAATAAAATAGAATAATATAAATTATTTAAATAAGAAATATATAAATGTTTTATAAAACACTATTTATAGCATTTTACATGAACTTAATTTGGTACATCATTTACATCATTGTTTATCATTGTTATCATTGTAAAAAAAAAATAAAATAACACACATCACAACCCATGCATATAGCATCACACCCTCACACAACATTCAACATTATATTTCAATAGTCACATCAATATATGATAATTGAAATTTTTTTTATTTTAATTATTATCGTACGAATTAAAACTATTCAAATTAATAACTCAAAGAATAATTGTACGATTGGTACGAATTTTTTCTCTCGCTATAATTAATGAAAGAGATTTCGGAAATTAATGCGAATTTTAGTAGGATTTTCGGTAATACGATTGAAATTATCTGCACATATAATAATGATAGTACGTACGTTAAATAAGAATTTTATTATACTAATTTTAATTTTAATTTTGGGAAGTATTTTAATTATGAACAAAAAAATATATAGCATATAATAAAAAAAAATATTATATAAAAAATAATAATTTTTTATTACGTGCTATATTTATTTATGGGTAAATCTATTTGTCACCGCTGGGAAAAATTACATAATTCCTGATCCTAACCCTAACCTTAACTTTGTTAATTTTGCCCAACGGTGACTATCACCAGCGGTGACAAGTATATTTTTTTTTTTATTATTTATTATTTATAAATAATAATTTTTATCTCAAATTTTCGCGAGTTTTTTTACGTTTTTCGACTTTGCTCACGATTTTCAGAACGTAAGTAATATTCTACTAAGGTATTTCTAAGATAGAAAGAAAGGCCTTGTTCTTGACTACAATGAGGTATGAGTTTCATCCTGGTGGCATCGATATTTATGGAGTTATTCTAGTTTAAATAAAACGTCCGTGAAAATCATTGAAAATCTTGCGCAAATTTTCGCCCGATTTTTTCATGGATGTTTTTTTTTAAACTGGAATAATTCCGCAAATGTCGATGCTTCCGGGATGAAGCATATACTACTTTGTAGCCAAGGACAAAGCCTTTCTTTCTATCTTAGGAATACTTTAGTAGAAAATTGCATTACGATCCGCAAATCACGAGCGAAGTCGAAAAAACGTAAGAAAATTTCCTGATGAACGTGCCATATTTATTTTATTTATAAAAAAATAATAATTTTTTATTATGTGCAATATTTAATTTATTATTATTTATAAAAAATAATAATGACGCGCGCAAAGTTTTTTTATTAAATTTAATTATTTTAATAATTTACAAATCACATTTATTATTGCGTGTTCAAAATCAGCATGTGACCTGCATATATAAAATAGTATGTACGATATTTTTACAAATTTTCGTACCGTCACGGTCTATGCAGAACGATAGGAAAATCAGTCTCAAATTTATTACACAACAATCAATACTCTCACGTAGTAAGATCAGGCAATCAGTCGATCTAAACCTGCTTACTAACAATTACGATTCATATAGCTATGTGTAATATCTGAAGGTACTATGAGCAAATGGAGTAAAAGTATCTTTATTACCGCTTGCACACTACCAAAACTGAGCAGACTTTTGATGTAACTTTGCCAAGAAATAAAAGAAATAGTTTATTAAATTTTATTAAAGTTTAATAGCGATATATTACTGCTTTGACGTATCTTATCACTTTTATTATTCCGCTACACTAAATTATTTATTATTATTAGGTTTATCACAAATAAAAGTAAAAGTAAAACTAAAAAGAAACTAAAATGTTCAAGATAAAAAAATAATAAAACTAAAACCAAGATTGTTCGAAATATCAGGTAAAATATTTTTATTTTGGTTCTTGTTCTTTTTGGCGAAAAGGAATCTCTTGTTTTTCTTCCTTGCCCGCAACTATTTTATATCTTACCCTTCATCCATAATCATGGGGATGAATAAACAGTTATCTTGGATGAAGAATGAAGCAAAAAGATAATAGTGACACATATCATCTCATATCATCTCCCGTGATTTCGGTTAGTTTCGTACCACCTCAGTACTTACAACCACTCATCTGGTCGACCTTACTTCGTAGGAAACCTAGATTGCGCAATCGCACCGTACTAATCGCTATATTACCGATATGAATAATCAATATAATTAATTAAATTAAATGAGATTAATGAATATTTATTTTTTGAAAATTGTTTTTTTCCATTTTACAAAAAAAAAAATAAAATGCTATATCTGGTTGATTAGATTTTTTTTTATAATTTTATTCATGAAATTATTCACACACATAAATGTATTAGGTTAGGTAAATAGCTTATAGCCAGTCTTATTAAATGTAAGGTTCGTTTATCACCATTGTTAAAATTTTGTCAATCGGGTTTTTTTTAAAAAAATCAACAAAAGTTTAATACGGCATGACTCTTTTGAAATTATAAAAAAAAATAGAGTATTGCTAAAGCTCTCCAGTGATGATTGTCACTGCCGGGCAAAATTACATAATTCCCTGATCAATCCCTAACCCTAACTTTGCCCACCTAAATTTGATCTTGCCCAGTGGTGAGCTTTAGCTTCATTTCGCATTTCAATATTTCTTATGTCACATGGTTTAATAAATAATAACAATAATGAAAAGGGAAATTAATTAAATTCTTCCATTTTTCAAATACATGTGTATTAAAAATATTAATTCATGGGCAATTTTTAATACAAATTTAAATAATTACAAATTTTTCAATCACGCCATCGCCTAAATATCTTAAATCATTCATTCATTAAACATTAAAAATATTAATAATTATCTTTTACGCACGATATAATACACAAATGCTTAAATGAAAATATAAATACATGACTGACTAATACTAGTCAAGAATTCTGCTTCAGTTAAGGATGAAAATTTTTTGAGAAAAGCCATCGGCGTGTTGAATATTTTCTTTCTGAGTACACCATTAAAAGGTTAGATGTTTTATTGTCAGTAGAATCATCAATATGATTTACATAATTTTTCATCTTTTTTGGGCAAAATGCTAATTCCACTAAGTGATGAATATAATAAATTTTACCTCCTCTGCAAATTCGAGCGCGATGAACCATTTCCATTCACTAACTGAACTCTACCTAAAGATAATACTCTAAATTTTTGTGAATCGAGCACCATTCCTCATTAGGGTCTGATTCTGTATAATCTTCTCTTTTAGAAATACTCATTCTAAATTATTAGCCCGATTATCATATCTAATACCATTAGCAAGATTATTTTCTGGATTAGGGGATAAATGCTTTCGCAACGAGTCTATGGGCATAAGGTTTATTACGATTTTATTAATATTAATGTCCATCCGTATATAACCCGCTCCCTTCTGGATATACCCCTTTAAAATTATGTCTTTTTTTGTAGGCAACCAATTTTTTCGGTTATTTATATAGCCTAGTAGAAGGAAAAGTTCCAGTTAAAGCATTGATAGATACAAGTGAAAATTTGTTTGATAGGCTTAAATCGAATCGTCGATCTCTGATCGTGCTAAAATCTTTATGGGGAAATTTCACTATAAAGAAAATACCATAGCTTAGATCGCACTGATGCAATAGACTTTCACAAAAATTCATCACCATTCGATCTAGTATTGACCAAGGGTGGTTACAAATTTTTTTCCTTTAAAAATCCTATTCTTTACGTAGAAAATCTTGGCTTGGCTTGAATTAATATAATTTACTCTTGTACAGTAAAATAAGATTATTGTTTATTTAAGATTTAAAAGATAAAAGAAAGATTATTGTTGTTATTATTATTATCTTTGATAGTAAATAAACGGTACTTATAAAGACAGTATGCTTTATTAATTATCTAATTACCTATGCATAAATATTCTACATATAAAATATAATTGAATCAAAATATTGTAAACCTCATCCTTATTTTTTATAACTCGCAATGTCTATCACCTTCCCTGTCGGCACCAAAACCAACTTATCGAACGTCTCAAGAAAGTTATCAAAGCGGGGAACCCACATGCATTTGGTAGTGCAGATGCCAAAGACATTAAGTTATGGAAGATAGAAATTACATTCCATGATTACAAGACTGTGACAAACTTCTAGTTACAAAAGAATTAGTAAATGCTTTTCTGAACAATAAAAAAAAATACGCATTCAATTCACTCATGCATCATAACTTTGTTACGTAAGTTCTGAGCATTTTTTTTTCGGCTCATAATATTTACTTGTTGTCATGCGTTATGCCACCCATTAGCTATTCATCATACTACTAAATCGACGGTACTATGACGGTAGACTGTTCTAATCTGCTAACAGAAGTACTGCTTTGGGGCATATTTTTTGAAGAAGTGAATTGGTTCAGCTTCGTTAAAGAATAAAATTCCAAAGATACTTTCGACAATAATATTAAATGTTTTTTCCAGATCATGAGTTTTTCGAGACGGCAAACTTATAACCAGGCATACTAGATTTCAATTACCACTATTCTACAGTAGTATACATTTTGACGATCGAGGTCAAAAGGGTTTCGTTTTAAGAGAAATTGGCGAAATAGGTTCAGGATTTTCAATATTTTTATTTATTCGATCAAATCTTAATATCAAAAGGGTAGTAGGATAATGGACCATAAAGTAATGTGTTACATGATTAACCAATTTTTAACTATCGAGTCCTTGACCCTAACAACTTTGTATTGTGTTCAACTTCCATTTCTGGTCAAGCCTTTTTTCAAATTAATTTTTTTTTTAAAAAAAAAAAAATATTTATTGTTAAATACCTGATATTGATGATGAATTAGTAATAGATTCTAACATCGAGTCTAAAGATATACTAATTTGGAAGCTCGTATAATGGATTATTAACAAACGCTTCTTGGATTTGATCATTTCAAGTCTTTCTTTTTTCGCCTTTTTAAATGCTAACAATTCTAACAAAATATCAATAACATATTTATCTGGATAATGTTCTTTGATATCATCTTTTAAGTGACAGTAATTATATTCAAAATCTAAAAATAATTGAGAAATTTCACCTATTGAGATGCAACGTTTTTTTCATTAAAATTTTCCAACATTCTGGTGTATCTAGTGATTTCTGCTAAATTATCTAATATGAAAATTGGTCCATGTTTTCGATCATGAAATGGCTTACGTCCCGTTGTTAATTCCCACATAATCATTCCTAAACTAAAAAGTTCTGGTGCCATATAAAGAATTACTCCATACATTTGGGGCTTTAATATTGCAACTATGTATAATTTTCTTATCATGAAGTAATTTAATTCCAATAATAATGTCACGAAATAAATTAATCTTTTTTTTCACGCAACTTTTTAAATTTTTGTGTAAAATGATTTAATCAAAATGCCAGTTAGATGTTGATAAGACAATTTGACGTGAAACAAGTTTTTTTAAAGGCCTGGGACATGTTGAGTATGGTTATGAAAGTATATAAAATTAAATATACAAAGTCATTAATGTATTGGTTGGATAAAGTCGCAAGTCACCAAGTTGCAAAAGAATTGCTTTGTGAATAATTCTTAATTCAGAGTCCCCTCAGATTGACAAGATTTATAAAAAAAACCATGTAGTTCCTTTCTAAATTCTGCCAGTTTTTATCTGACATCATTTTTTAAAAAATAATGTACCACGAAAAAAATTTCTGAACGAAAAATTAATAATCTTGCAAACAATATTCTATTTTGTTAATGATGATAATGATAAGAAAGATGCTAGAATTATATTTACATATGCATTTGATTTATATTTGTTTAATGCGCAGTATATTAAATGGTGCCATAAGCTGGTGGTAAAATATAATCATTAATTAACAAAGGAATTAAAGATATTGTGCTATCGTATGAAGGTAAATTATTATTAATACTGGATGATAAATTATTATATAAATTATTGTCTCTAGAAGTTAAATTATTATTATTGGAAGGTATTGAAGATGATAAATCTTCGTTGATTTCTCTGTCAAAATAATAACTATTGTAGGTAGGAAGTGCATCAAACATAATACCAATCGGACTAAAACATGAAGTAATTATGACAGGTAAACTTGCTGTAACTTCATAATAATCTTTATCTTCAATTTGAAATGTAACATCAAATCTTACTTTATGTTCGATACGAATTTGGTTATTTTCAGAATCTGCTAAACAACGAGACTTTGGAATTGACATTTCTTCATTTTTAATCCAAGTTTCATTATCAAAAGGAATTACTGATGAATCTCTCTTTATATCAATAATTACCACTTCTTTCATGGTTTTCGGTCCAATGTTATAGGTTCTGTGCTCTTCAAAAATTAAATTGAATCGATGAATATTTATTCCTTCTACTAAAGGTTTTATAATAAGTTCTACTGGAATCTTGTCATCGAGGCAGAAATATCCGGCTCCAATTGAAAATTCATATTCAACTTTATTCTTCCATGAATTAATAAGAACAACACTTTGCAATGAATTAAAATAATTAGACATCAAACATCTATTGATTTGGATTTTACGTTTAGTATGAATATTTTGTGAGAAAGTTGGTCTTTTTAAGGTAGCTTTAAGGTTATAACGAATGTAACTTCTATTACATTTTTCAATCGTTTCTTTTAATGTTCCGGGAAGGATTAATTCAAAATTCCAGCAATAATTTGCCGGCTGAAGAACATGATATTTCTCTTGCGCAGCAAGGAAAACCCAATCATGTCTATATAATATTCTCTTTTCGCTTGTTTCTATAATATTACCTATGTAAAAGATAATATATATATATATATACATACAGTACATGATTGAGTACTATGAGTAATGAATAGCATAAGAAATTCACAAATTAAAATATTCAACATTTACCACTATCCCACGCAATTTTTGATTTTCCCTGAAATGTCAATTTAATTTCTTTGGTTTTGATAGGTTTTGTAATTAATAACACGAGTTGTCCGCGTAGAACGCAACCCACAGATTCCGTAGATGACCCTCTCAAAGTTAAACTATCTTGTTCTAATCGAATTTGAAATAAAAGTGTCATTATATGTAGTTTACTTTCACGAAATTGAATTTCCGATATAAAAAAATGAATTATATTTAGAATATGACAGATTTTCTCAATTAGTGATAGATGTGCTAATCTATTATTAAAATTTTCTTGTAGTTCTGATATGGTGTGGCTACCTTTTTTTGAACTAATTTATGCAATAGGCGGTTTTTATATTTGTAAATAATCTTGGTAAGATGTTACCAATTAAGGAATTTATTGTATTGTTTATTCGGTTACCTATTGTTTGTATTTTATACTATTCACGGAATTGATAAAATCAATCCACTGCGCTTTCTGAATTTAAATTTAGATTACAAAATAATTAAAGGAAGTTTAGTTTACAATGCAATTTTAAATGTCTTTGTCAGAGAATTTCAGAAAAGCTGTATTTAAGTAGAAAAGATATTTGGAACTCGTCGGATTGCATACTATAGGTATTATTTATTCAATCAGCTTAAAACGCGTAATTTTAAAGTATTTTAATTGTTACAACATATCTCTGAAAATAAAAGACAAAAAATCATTATCACAATGAAGCTTGATGCGACAAACTCCAGGTACAGTTTTAAGCTCAAATTAATTTTAAATTCTTTACATAAAAAAGGTTTATCGCATAATTTTCTTTGTTATTCTAGCCAAAAATTCTTTACATAAAAAGGTTTATCGTATATATTAATTATGGCAATTCTTTGACTTTCTTGGCGACAACATTCCTATAACCCAAAATACAACAAAGATTTTAGAACCTTCCATTTATCTCAATTTCAAAAAAAAAGTAAATATGTATTAATTAGATTTCATAGATAAGACGTAGGTGTACCGTGTATAAAAAATGTAGTGTAGTATGTCGTAATTAATTTCATGTAAATTATATAACTTAATTTGTTATATATTTATAAAGTATTGACTGAATAATTGTTATATATTTATAAAGTATTGACTGAATGATTGTTATTCAAATAATAAACATGAAACAGATTCTGTAGGTTTTATTGAATTTTTAGCTTATGTATAGTATATGGTCTAACTAAAAATAATTGCATATATTACGTGCTAAGTTTTTTTTCTCTTTTGGCTGGATTCTTACAATAAAAAACTTGGAAAATGTGGTTCAGAAAAATATATCATTGAAAGATTGAAAGAATATTTTTTATGGCTGGTAATGTTTATAAAACTAAACATATAATAAATGGTAAATGCATTGACTCAGTTGTCTAAAGGAAGTGAAATAAAAGAAGAAAATATACCTTAAGTCAAAAACAGCGGAGTATTGGATTACCTGTCATTCAATGTCTTTATGTCAAAGCTGCGGAAGAAAGAACAATTAATAATAGAGAAAAATGGTGAACATCCTATTTTGAGAGAACTAAATAATAATAATAATAAACAAGATAGAATAAAATGTATATCATATTTTATTTGAAATTTATAATTCCCGAAGTTTAAAATAGTTATAAAGAAATAATAAATAAAATTTTTTCGTTTACGTAACGTCACACGTCGTATGCTCCAGAAAAGTTAAAATCTTAAGTTTATCAAACTAACTCTGAAATGAAGAAAACAGAAAATTTTCGGCACATGAAATGGATTTGTTTAAAACAGGAAATAAGCCGTTAATTTAGGATGGCAAATTAACAAACAACTCCAATTTTTGGGTGCAGATTTTTATATAATAAATTTTGCGCAAAAAAATTTATTAATTGACAATTCGGATAAAATCGACAGTATTTACATATTTATACATATTTCATTATAGCTTGGAATCTGTAATGTGTCTATAAGTAAGTATAAAATGTTACAATATAACATAAAATAAAGGATAATTTCTTATACGCTGAAAAAATCAATTTTTTAAAATCATATATATGATCGAACGTGAAATATATTAAATATCAATTAATATTGATTTTAATTTTAACGATAAAATCTATATCATATTTTAATTAATATAAAATCATATCTTATATAAAACTATACCAAAGCTCTTTAAACAGTAATTTTTTTTCGTATTATTTTAAAATATTATTTGAAATATTATTTGAAATATTATTTGGAATATTATTCTTCCATATCAAATTGAACTCCATATTCTTCAATAACTTTAAAATGTTCATCATTTAATATAAATAGTCGCGTTTGAACCATACGATTTACGATTTCTCTTTATTTCTTCCTCTTTACAACACCACCCTTCAAGAATTTCCTTGAACTATCAGCACTAAATATCCATAATAACACACTCTAATTTCAATTGTTTCAAGTGATTCTGGTACATTTAAATAATTTTTATGATAAATTCTTGAGGCCTATTACATCGATATCTTGAATTAAAATAATGGAAACCACTTAATTGAGTAAATGATGAAGCCAAGGATAGATTAACTAAAATATAATCCACAACAATTCTCTCTAATGTAAAATAAAATGTCCAAATGGCGATGATTTCCCCTTGAAATCATAAAGATTACCGACTTAAAACGAAGACTCTTTAATGTTTCTTTTTGACTAATGATATCCCAAAACATTGAATTAAAACTGGATAATAATTAACATCAATTGATAGATTTTCTAAACATTTCTGAGCATTAATAAATTTTACTAATAATTACACTTGAAAATATGAGAACAAGAACAAATCCATATTTAAAATAATATCACAAATTAATTTTAATGATTCATATAATGGACAAATCAGTTCATGATTTTTTATCATCGAAGTAAAACTTTCTAATTTCCTAAATACCAGGTAACTTGAGTTTGAATTTTTTGTTTGTAATCAACGGAGCCTTGCTCCGTGACGTTTATGGAAATGAAAAATAAATACAAAATTTATTAAATTTAGTGTTCAAAAAAATGATTTTTTTAGATTCTATCCCTTGGACAAAACACGATCACATGTTAAATTTAAGCCAATCAAAATTGATGAATCAAAAAACCCATAAAGGGTAGTACCGTCACATCATTAAAATTTATTGAGAATTTTTTTTAAAAAAAAACTTGTCGAGATAAAAAAAAAAGGAAAATCAAGCAAGTTAAATAGAAAAAATCAAGAGTAAAGTTGATTTATTTCAAAGTGATTTAAAGTGAATGAAAGAAGTTACAATACAATGTTCAGTAAAATTAATGAAAGTTAATAATAAACAGAAGATAATTTTTTGCGCGATTCGCATTAAAATTTAAAATAACACAATTCTTTGATTATTGGTAAAAAAAATTGTATCTAATAAATATAACTTGCATAAAGAATCAAAATGAAATGAGGAATTGATTTCTTTTTTAGTATAAGAAAATTACTTTAGGGAATAATTGTTATCTTTTTTTCTTTCTCATCATAAAAGAAAAAAAATTTCTTTTGTGTGTCAAATGTAAAATGGCAATTCACTGCCAAAAAAAAAAATTTTTATTAAAATCACTTTTTATTTTCACCACCAATAAAAAAATATATTTATCGCTTGACGTATTTATGGTGGTGTTTCACAGCGTGTGATAACAAATAATAAAATTTAATTCTGCTTGTAAATGTAGGTATGCACAATGATCTAAGAAGAAAAGGGAATGTGTAAAGCCACCCAAAGAGTAAAAAAAAAGTTTTCAGAAATCATTTGACAAAAAGTTTGGCGTTTGAATATTGCAGCAGAAAGGATAAATTAAATTAAATTAATAATAATAATGCGATATTGTATATTACTTTTATCTTGTGTATATCTATTTTATGGCGAAAAAAAAAGAGTAAAACATATTCTTTTATTTTTGGGTTTTAAATATGATAAAAAATGTGGGGAAATGATTGATATTTTTCTGGGTTTTTTAATAACAGTAATAATTTTTAGTATTATTGCAACCAAAGAAGGTTTAGATGTGTGCAAAAAATATCTAATAAGATATAATGAATTTCACAAAATAGTTTTTAAATTTTATTCAATAATTTTAATTTCAATTTTTAATTTAATATATAAAATAATGATAATAATAGTAATAATAGTATTTACAAGAAATTTATTACAATTAATTAGTTTTTATATGTCTAATATAAACAATGATATGAATTTATCAAGAAAATGTAAAGAATGGAGAGAAACTTTTAATTATAATAAAGAAAAAAAAAATAAATTTTTTTTTTAAAATAAAGAATAATCGATACTTATTCTTTTTTCATAATTATTATTGTCGAAGAATTTTTTGTGCGTAGAGTGAAGAATTTGAAGCATAGAAGTAAAGAAATTTCATATAAAACATAAAGTTAATGACACAGAGTAAAAAATTTTCATATAACTTGGTCATTATAAATAGGGGGTAATAATGAATCCGCAAGAGGAGCAGGTATAGAAGAAGCTATACTTCGATAAGAAGGTAAAGAATTTAATTTTGATTCATCGAATAATGATTTTGGATTAATAATTTCAAGAAAAGAATCCGTGAATGAAGAAATAGAAGATGATGATAGAGAAGTTGACGATGAATAAGGTGAAGATGATAATGAAGATGAAGGAGAAGGAACTAAGTCTTCAACATAAAGTTGGTCAGGATAATGTTCTCTATATACAGGTAACATCATACGATCACTATTAGAAGAAAATGGAGTGATTATAATTGGCAGGGTAGCTTTTATTTCTAAATTATTCTTATCTTTCTTATTACCGCCATTATTAAATATGACACTAAATTTCAATTTATGTTGTATTTTGATAATTTCATTTTGAGAATCATAACGACATGAAGATATTGTATTAGGTAAAATGAATTCAAAAGTTTTATTCCAAATTTGATTGAAATCAATTTTCATGTCATGATATTGACGAATCATTAGATTTTCTTCTTTAACTTGAGTTCCGATTTGATAAGTAATATGTTCAATTAATTTACAATTAAATCGAACGATCGATAATTTATTTTGTAAAGGCATTAAGGCCACATGTATAGGTATTCTATCACCTAAAGTAAAAGCCTTAGAATCGGTGGTAAATTCATAATCAATTTTATCAGTCCATGTATTGGCTACGACAATAGTTTGCATAGAATCCAATTCTTCACAAGATGATAAACATCTTTGTATATTAATTTTTCGTTGAGTATTTAAATTAAAGGATAATTTTGATCTTTCCGCCACAGCTTTTAATCGATAATTAACATTTCCGAATTCACAA